TGCTGGCAGTGATGGCACTGATGATGCTGATGCTGATACTGATGATGATTACGAGGACGATGACCTTAATGATGATGCTGATGATGATGCTGAAGATGCTAATGAGGATGTCGATGATGACGATGATGATGATGATGATGATGATGATGATGATGATGATGATGACGATGATGATGATGATGATGATGATGATGATGCTGATGATGATGATGATGCTGATGATGATGATGATGATGCTGATGCTGATGATGATGATGCTGATGATGATGCTGATTATGATGATGCTGACGATGATGGTGATGCTGATGATGATGATGATGATGATGATGATGATGATGATGATGATGATGACCATGGTGCTGCTGATGATGCTGATGCTCATGCTGATACTGATGCTGATGCTGCTGATGGTGCTGCTGATGCTGATGATGTTGATGCTGTTGGTGCTGATGCTGATGTGAGGGTAATGATGATGATGATGCTGATGACGATGAGTCTGAAGAAGATTATGATGGTGCTGATGATGCTGATGCTGATGATGATGCTGATGCTGCTGATGATGATGATGACGATGATACTGATGGTGATGAATATACACTGATGATGATGAGGAGGAGGAGCAGGAGGAGGAGGAAGTGGAGGAGGATACGGAGGAGGAGGAGGAGGCGGAGGATGAGGCGGAGGAGGAGGAGGAGGACGAGGAGGAGGAGGAGGGAGAGGAGGAGGAGGAGGAGGAGTAGGACGAGAAGGAGGAGGAGGCGGAGGAGGAGGAGGAGAAGCAGGAGGAGGGATGAGGTGGACGAGGAGAATGACGGCGACGATAACAAGGATGAACAGGAGGCGGAGGAGGAGGAGGAGGAGGAGGACAGAAGGACAAGATCGGCGACGAATAGGATGAGGAGGAGCAGGAGGACGCCCCGACACGGGCAGTGCACGAGAAGGAGGATGATGATGATGAGGAGGTGGAAAAATACGACGAACAACAATACTACTACTACGACTACTACTACTACTGCTGCTACTACTACTACTACTACTACTACTACTACTACGAATAATAATAATATCAATTATAATAAACAGAGCATTACTGCTGATACGACGAAGGCTGCGACGAAGACTATCCATACTGCCAACGAGAACATTACGAACCACACGACTACACTACTAGGGCTGAGACGCGGATATTCAGAATATCACTACTATGAAGCCGGCGGTCAACGACTAGAGGTATGACTAACACGTACGAATAAGACTAGTACTCTTACGAATCAGAAGACTAAACCTGCTATTACCTCGAGTCATACGCATACTACGAATTCACACAATACTAGCAATCAGAACACTAGTAATGCTAACCATGTTGATACACATACTACCAACCACAGCAAATAATGATACAGCTATCAATGCTCATCGTGGAAATATTACTAGCACTAGTTATGTTAACACTACTGCTATTATAAATAGTCTTAATGGTGCTAAGGTGAGCAGTGATCATACTACTACTACTACTACTACTAATGCCAACATCTGCATTTGAATGTCACGAGTGCAACGAATAATTATGATACCACTAATACTACTAATGCCACTAAGCCTGATACTAGCAACACTAATTCTATGAATACTACTCGCAATAACAAGTATATGGTCAATTCGAATATTACTAATCGCAATACTAAGACATGGACAATAAAATCATTAGGACCATGAGGATGAAGATAGAGAGGAGGACGAGGATGAGGAGGAGGAGGAGGAGGAGAAGCACGAGGACGAGGACGATGGCGAGGACGAGGACGGCGACGATAACAAGAGGAGGAGGAGGAGGATGAGGAGGAGGAGGAGGAGGAAGGGGATGATGATGATGATGATGAGGAGGAGGAGGAGGAGGAGGAGGAGGAGACGGAGGAGGAGGAGGGGGGGAGGAGGAGGAGGCGGAGGAGGACAAGCCAGGTGCGCTGGCGTCATATCTGACGTCTTAATCCTCCCTCCCATCCCTTACCAAGGCGTAGATATCTTCTCTATTCGCACAGTTGGATGTCGAGCAGGGCAATGATCGCGAGAGGGTACGCGATGCATGGTAGAGAACGGCATGGCATGGCGTAGAAGAGCACGGCAGAGCATACCATACCATGGCATGACGTGGCATTGCGCAGTGACGCATTGCATCACACAGCAACGCAAGCATGGCATCGCACAACGGCGCAGAACGCAACACCGCACAGCATCTCATGGCATGGCGCCGGATTCCTTGGAGGGTAAGTGGATCGTCTCGAAGAGGAGGGAGGGAGGGAGGGAGGGAGGAGGAGGAGGAGGAGGAGGAGGAAGAGGAGGAGGGAGGAGGAGGAGGAGGGAGGAGAAGCTGGAGGAGGAGGAGGAGGTCTCTAGCTCCTTGGGCTCCCCGAAAAGCTCCACACGAGGCGGCGCTGATGGAGAGCACGCGCTGGCTCTCTGCTTTCAACACCGCTTTCTCAAAGCAGAAGCGGGGCTCCCGCTTGACTTGGCATCGCTCGGACGTGTGTATGTTTCCTTCGGCGAGGACCATCGATGAACATCCTGGATCATTCGGCCAAAAAAAACACGCACGAAACCGAAATAAGCACAGGGAATGGACGTCCGAGCGATGGCCAGTTGATACTTCCTGAAAACGACGACGCCCCAAAGTGGGGGGGGGGCTTCTGCGGCCAAGGGGCGACCTTCTCTAGATTTTGAGGACTATTTGGAAGGACCGAAAACGCCCGCGCTGCAGCGGGAGCACGATGTGGAACAACCAGAGGCGCAGAAATGGGGCCAGCGCAGCAGCGGGAGCAAGATGCTGGAAACAGACCCAAGCGAAAACCCAACTCTCGGGAATCCTGTGTGTAAGAAGAACCGTACGCGGAGGGGGGCCGGATATTTGTCGGACGTCATTGGGGTGAGAGGAGAGTAGTATTCATATGGTGTAATTGTTGAGGAGGAGGAGGAGGGGGATGACTATGATTTCGAGTACGAGGATGAGGAAGATGAGGATGAGGATGAGGATGAGGATGATGATGGGGATGAGGATGAATCTGATGATGATGCGGCTGCTGTTGCTGCTGCTTCTGCTGCTGCTAATGATGATGATGATGCTGATGCTGATGATGATGAGGATGCTGATGATTATGATGATGATGAGGAGGATGATGATGCTGATGATGATACTGATTCCGATGATGATGATGATGATGATGATGATGATGATGATGATGACGATGATGATGATGATGCTGATGATGACGATGATGATGATGATGACGATGATGATGATGATGATGATGATGATGATGATGAGAAGGAGGAGGAGGAGGAGGAGGAGGTCGGGGACGAGAGTTGTGGTGATGCTGGTGATGATGAGGTGGAGGAGGAGGAGGTGCCCTTACCTCCTCCGCCTCCTGCCTCTCCTGCTGCTGCTTCTCCTCCTCTTGCCTCCTCCGTCTCCTCCTCCTCTTGCCTCCTCAGCCGTTGTGGCTCAGGCTTTGTGCTTGCGTTTCAAACTCCACCTCTTCCAACCAGCGCACTAGTCTGGCTTTACTTTGAGGCATCTCAGCCCTCCATGTTTCATGTTTGCACCTCTGCTGGGGACTCTTTCGCGGTGAGCTCCTGCTGGTGCAGTTGCTGACCACGACTCGCGAGGAGTCATGGCCGGCAACGGCGAAGGTGGGAAGGATCGCTTCTTTGGGCGCCATGTCATCGGGGATGGGGACAGCCTCCGCAGCATCCGCAGCATGGAGGAGGGAACCACCGCCTCGGAGCTCTACGTATCTGGCATCCAGAGTCTTGCCCGTGATGCTCCTGCTGACGGCTCCGCGGCAGGCTCGAAATCACAACGATGGGCTGCTGGTGGTGTTGGTGCGCGAAGAAATGGCGTCGTTTTAACTTCTGCAAGCGCCGTGGAGCGCTCAAGGCCGACTCCGCGCCTCCGCCCTCGACCTGGTCTGCTGGTAACGCTCTCGCCCTGTTCGGCGGGCGAGCTGGCGACGGCAGAGGGGGAGGCAAAAGGAGGACCTCGTGGCGCACCTGCTGGAGGCAGAGGAGGAGACGCTGGCCGGCCGCCTCTGCGAGAAGCGTGGCGACGTGCAAGGAGCTCGAGCTCTCACAGAACGGCAGCAGCCTCCTTGTGATTGGCCTGTTTTCCACCACCACCACCACCATAAGTTGGAGGGGGAGGGGGTCCTCCTCCTCCTCCACCTCCTCCTCCTCCACCTCCTCCTCCTCCTCCTCCTTCTCCTCCAACTTATGGTGGTGGTGGTGGTGGAAAACAGGCTCATCATCCTTGCGCCTGCGCCCCAGCTCGAGCCCCCTGCAAGTGCGGCTCAGTCGAGCTCATCAGAAGTCTCGTTACGGTGGAGGAGAGGCTCAAGGCTGCTTGCGGCAGGTGCGAGCAGTCGGGGGCCCAGCTGGAAGCGCGGCGTGCAGGCGTACTACAGCTTCGCGCCGAGCTCGTTGAAGCAAGTTCCGAACACGGTGATCCAGTGCGACGGTTTCATGATCAGCTTCCGTCCGCCGGGCAGAGTGGTGCTCCAGACGGCGTGCTGCAGGCTGGCCCCAGACTCTCCACGGAGGACCTTCTGAACGAGCAGCGTTTCGCCTCGGCCCGTGACCTGGGCCTGGGAGATTCATTCGTGGTCACGGACGAAGATGGCATGTCCACGGAAGACAAGGCCGACCTCACGGCCAGGGTCAACCAGTTCAACACGGGCATCACTTCCATGGCGAAGGCTCTGCGCGGGGGCTACGGCTAAGGTAAGCACTATCACGGCGGAGCGTTCACAGTTGGCGGCGAGGATGGCGGCCAAGTCCTCCTTTCCACCGCTCCGTCCTCCCTCCCCTTCCCCTCCCCTTCCGCCCCCTCTTCTTCTCCTCCCCTCCTCCCTCACCCTCCCCTCCTGTTCCCCCTCCCCCTCTCTTTCCCCTCCCCCTTCCTTCCTGCCTCGGGGGGGGGGGGGGGGGAGCCAACCCTTTGCCGAAGCCGCAAGGGAGAGCAGCTGCGCGTCGGGCTCGTCTGGGGCGCCCGCGGGCGTCGCGACCGCGCCGCGGGTGCACCGGCACAGGAGGGGCAGGGGCTGCGCGTGCCGACGGTGGTGATGGTGATGGTGATGACGCGGGCGATAGCTGAGGATGATGGTGATGGTGTGGTGGTGGTGATGGTGCTGCGGATGATTGAGATGATGCTTATGATGGTGGTGGTGATGGTTGTGGTGGTTATGGTGGTGATGAGGGTGCTGATCATGTTGTGATGGTGCTGGCGAAGGGGTAGACGAAGGTGACGGCGATGATGGTGATGATGTTGCTGTTGATGATGATGCTAATTCGGATGATGCCAATGATGATCAGGATGTTGATGATGATGGTGATGGTGATGATGATGTTCACGACGGTGATGCTGATGGTGATGATGCTGACGATGACCTCGATGATGCTGATGATGTTGTTGGTGGTGGTGATGATTCTGATCATGATGGTGATGATCGTGATGATGATCATGATGATGATGTTGCTGGTGACGATCTTCGCGATATTGTTAATATTCATGACGATATTGTTGATGATGGTGACGATGATGAAGCACTGACGAGTAATAAGGTTGGTGCTAGCAACGACGTCGACGACGACCACGACGATGATGATGATGACGATGATGATGATGATGATGATGATGATGATGATGATGATGATGATGATGATTATGATGATGATGATGATGATGATGATGATGATGATCATGCTGATGATAATACTGGTGAGTAGGGTGATGATGCTGAAGATGATGGTGATGGTGTTGATGATGATAATGATGTGTATAATGTTAATGATGATGACAATGATGCCGCTTGTGATGATGTCGAAAACGACGATGATGGTGATGAAGATGATTAAGATGATTCAGATGACGACGATGATGAGGATGAAAGTAATGATAATGATGCTGATGCTGCTGATGATCATATTGATGATGATGATTATGATGAACATGATTATGATGGTGATGGTGATGATGATGCTGCTGATGATGATGATGATGATTGTGCTGCTGCTGATGATGTTGATCTGATGATGATGATAAGGCTGATGATGATGCTGATGATGCTGATGATGATGATGACGGTGATGATGAAACTGATGATGATGCTGAGGATAATGAAAATGATGATGATGATGATGATGATGGTGATGAAACACTGGTACTGATAGATTGTGACGATGATGACACAGACGACAACGGTGATCATGATGACGACGAATGGTGATGATGATGCTGATGATGATGATTATGATGATGGTGATGATTGTGTTGATGATGATGCTGCTGATGATGATGATGGTGGTGGCGGTGATGATGTTGGTGGTGGTGGTGATGCTGGTGATGATGACGATGGTGATGATGATGATGGTGATGATGATGCCTATCATGATGCTGCTGATGATGATGACGACGACGATTATGATGATGATACTGATGGTTGTGGTGGTTGTGTTGATGATGATGATGGTGATGCTGATGGTGATGATGCTGCTGATGATGATGATGCTGATGCTGATGCTGATGATGATGATGCTGATGCTGATGCTGATGTTGATGATGATGATGATGATGATGATGATGATGCTGATGATGACGATGATGATGATGATGATGATGATGATGATGATGATGATGATGATGATGATGATGATGATGATGATGATGATGATGATGATGATGCTGATGCTGATTCTGATGCTGATGCTGATTCTGATGCTGATGATCATGATGATGGGCGAATGGAGGATGGAAAGATCGAGGTTCCATGATCGAACTTTGTCGATCGAGGTCTTTTGGCGTCTCTCCGTTTTCCTGGGCCTCCAGGCGGCATCGTCGTCGCCTCTTCGTTTGGAGCGCACCCCATGAGCGATCGGGGGGACGATATCTAAAGAGGAGGGGTGGAGGGCGACGCCGGGGAGGGATGGGGGAGTATGGTGGGGACGGAAGGGGCGGCAGTGGAGGAGGCTAGCGATGGTGAGCATGATGATGACGGATGGCATCATGGGGAGGAGGAGGAGGAGGAGGAGGAGGAGGAGGAGGAGGAGGAGGGGGAGGAGGAAGAGGAGCAGTAGGTGTCGGATGAGGGAGATGGGCAACGTTATGATTAGTTTGATGGTGATGATGGTTATGGTGATGAGGAGGGTAACGAGGAGGAGGAGGAGGTGGAGGAGGAGGAGGAGGACGGGGAGTGGAATAAGGATCATTATGATGAAGAATTTGCGGGGAAGTAAGATACCGAGGATGAGGAGGAGACCGAGGAGGCGGAGGACGAGAATTTGGCGGAGGAGGAGGAGGAGGAGGAACACAAGGAGGAGGACCCGCGGATCGAATGACTCGGCGGACTAGAGGAGGGAGCCACGCTCAAAGAGGGAACGCGCGGCAAACTCAGCAGCGTGTTGCGTCACCGCTTGCGGGGAGCCCCGTTCGCGGGTGACACCTGGCTCGAAGGTTTGCAAGGGCCGTGGTCCCCGCCGACTCACCGCCCATGTCACCTGGCCCACGCAGGGTCCAGCAACGTCTAGAGCAAGGAGGTGGAGGAGGGCGAGAATGAGGTGGAGGATACGAATATGATGATGATGAGGAAGAGGAGGAGGATGAGCAGGAGGAGAAAGATGACGAGGATGCACAGCAGCAGTATCAGGTTTGATATTGGAGAGTGGGTCGGGAGGCAGGACAAAGGATTGGGAGCAGCAGGAGGCGGAGGAGGAGGACGACGACGTCAATCGTGATCTATGCTGATGGTGGTGGTGGTGGCGATAATGCTGCTGCTGATGCTGTTGATGGTAATGATGACGATGCTGCTTCTCCTGATGATGATGCTGATGATGACACTGGTGATCATGACGAGGATGATGAGGATGCGTATGAGTATGCGCATGATGATGACCACGACGATACTGCCGATGCTGCTTCTGCTTGTGATGCTGCTGACGAGGATGTTGATGATGATGGTGGTGATGCTGATGGAGATTTTGATGCTGATGATGTTGCTGCTGCTGATGATGATGATGCTGATGCTGATGTTGATGATGATGATGATGATGCTGATGATGATGATGATGATGATGATGATGACGATGATGATGATGATGATGATGATGATGATGATGATGATGCTGCGGATGAGGTTGATGATGCTCATGATGCAGGTGCTGCTGCTGCTGCGGTTGTTGATGGTGATGCTGGTGGCGTTGATGACGAACACGTTGTCGTGGATGCTGCTGCTGTTGATGCTGCTGCTGTTGTTGATGATGATGATGATGCTGATGCTGATGAAGCTGATGATGCTAATGATGTTGATGAGGATGATGTTGCCTTCGAGCTGCGAGTCCCGAACCTCGATCCTTTAAGGGACAGGATGGGGGGAGCACATGTCGATGTGGTCGGTGTGCGTCGCAGTCGCGTCGTCGTCGTCTCCATCGTTCTCGGCCTTGACCTCGTCCTCGACCTCGACCTCGCCGTCGACCTGATCCTTGCCGTCGTCTTTGTCGTTGTCCACGTGCTCGTCTTCGATCCTCGTCGTCGTCCTCGTCCTCGACCTCAACATCAACCTCGACCTCGTTGCCAATCTGTTCCTCGACCTCATCGTCCCTTCGTCGTCGTCGTCGTCGTCGTCGTCGTCGTTGTCGTCCTTGCCCTCGATCCTCGATCTTCGACCTCGTTGTCAACCTCGTCCTCTTCCGCGATGCTCTAACCTCAAGGGGTGCGCTCTGGATGGTGAAGGAAGGGGGAAGGGGGGGGTGGGTGGGGGGGGGGGGCAAGCAGGCGGCAGGCAGGATCAGGAGGAGGAGGAGCAGGAAGAGGAAACGCATCACGAGGATGAGGATGAAGATGTGAAGATGGATGGGGGAGGAACGAGGATGGGGGGGGGGATGGAAGAGGCTGAGCTGGAGTGAAGAGGATGAGGAGGAGGCGGATGAGGGGGAGGATGAGGAGGAGGGGGGGAGGATTAGGATTGGGGGGGATTGGGGGGGGGGGGGGGGGGGGGGAGAGGAGCAGGAGGAGGAGGAGGAGGAACCGAAACAGGATGAAGAGGATGATGATGGGGGAGAAGGAGGAGGAGGAGGATCAGGAGGAGGAGGAGGAGCAGGAGGATGAGACGGAGGAGCAGGGGGAGGGAGGTGGAGGCGGAGGATCAGAAGTAGGACGAGGAGCTGGAGGATGTCGATGATGATGTCGAGGATGACGATGATGCTGATGATGATGCTGATGCTCATGCTGCTGATGATGTTGATGAGACTGCTGATGGTGATGATGCTGATAATGATGATGCTGACGATGATACTGATGATGCTGACGCCGATGATGATGGTGATGATGCTGGTGATGGTGATGCTGCTGCTAATGCGGATGCTGAGTATAACAGCGACGTTGATGAAGATGGTGGTGATGATGGTGATGATGATGCCGATGACGATAATGCTGACGATGCTGCTGATGATTGCGATGATGATGCTGATGACGATGCTGATGATGATGACGACGATGTTGACAATGCTGCTGATCATGCTGATGGTAATGGTGATGCTGGTGCTGGTGGTGTTGATGACGATGGTGGTGAACATGATGACGTTGATGATGCTGCTGATGATGTTGTTGATAATGCCGATGGCATCGGTGACGATGCTCTTGATGACGACGATGGTGATGCTGATGATGGTGATGCTGATGATGATGATGCTGCTGACTATGATGCTGAGAGTGAAGATGCAGATGTTCATGATGATGGTAACGATGATGCTAATGTTGCTGCTGCTGATGATGACGATGCTGATGAGGATGATGGTGAGGATGATGCTGATGGTGATGCTGATGATGGCGATGATGAAGATGCTGGTGCTGACGACGATGGTGACCGTGTGGATGATCATGATGCTGATGATGATGATGATGATGACGACACTGATGTTGATGGTGATGCTGATGATGCTGATGATGCTGATGACGATGCTG